ACTTTGTAATCAATCCTAATACAAAGTACCCTCTTTAAAATAACACAATTGTTTGAATTTGAAATTTCAAAAAAGAATAACATTTATTTTTATTCAGAGAAGAAACAAAGTCAAGTTTTAATTAGAGATTTGAATGATACATGCGGTCTCACACTAATCATCTCAATGCTTCAAACCTAAATGCTTAGCCTAGCCATTTCATTTAGCTAAAAAATACAATAAGAATAGTAAGACAAAAGCGTATATCGTCAAAGCCAAAAATTTTGTTGCAGAAAAGATCAAACCATTTGACCTAGCAAGACCTATAACACCATCAAACATAACATAAACTATATGATAAGTGCAAGTGCACTACATTTTCAAATGGGGTTTGAGTATCTTGGCCCGCCACTTCTTTACAGGAAAACCAAAATTAGAATATGAGTACCATGAAAGCTTGGGACTTTTATTCTTCTTGAACATGCATGCCTAGTTTCAAATGAAGATTCAAAGGTGGGGAATATGCTGCATAATAAAAACTATATACAGATTTCTCATCCTTGAAAACACGAGATGTAGGGGTCCCCCTGCGATATAGAGAAAGGTGCGTGTGTCTCTCTCAATTAAGAATATATCACAGCTGAGCCCTACCCTGTATGCATGCATAGCCCCAACTAAAGTCGGCCGGCTCAACCAAAAAGGAGGGCCAGAGGAGACACTGCGTCCAATTTAGGTGAAAATTTTTAAAGTGGAATGGATGGGCGTAGAGATAGACTCATATCCTTTATCAAAACAGTACCCATTCTTAACTTATTTTCTCACCACATCTTCCTTGTTTCTATTCATACTAAAATCCGTGTTTTTGAGAACCATTTGGTGTAAAATCTTGAATTCAAACATGAAACTTGGTTGTTAAGAATTGATATTTGATTTTTCTGAAATTTAGACAAATAACTCAATTATGGTATGTTTAATCATTTTATTCTAATTAGACATCATTTTACATATTTTTTTAATAATTTTAAATTTTCTGTTAGCATATAAAGTTATTTTTAATTAAATATAATTAATTGAATTTTCATATAACATTGACCATGTGACTAAATAATGTTTTTTTTTTCGCTCAACAATATATAACTTTTATTGAAGAAAGTGATCAAATAAGATCACCTTACCATTTAGAATTAGGGTGTTTCAGTTTGTTAATTTGTCGAACCGATAAAAAATAAAAAAATTTGGAATGAATACCCGACTTGTTAAATCACATGAATCTACGAATCGCCTGGGCCGAAATACTAGTTCGAGTCAGGTACCGGTTTTTTCCCCAATAGGGCACCCGGCATAATTATTTGACCCAATAGGGCACCTCAAAAATTAATTTGAGATCCACGACATTTTTAACAGTCCAGGGTAAATTCATTACGTCGAGTTGACGAGTTATATGTGATATACTTTTTATATTCCGGACCTAATATTTTAATATTTCCTGCGAAACTCGTCATCTTGAGGTGACAAGTTCTAATAGAAATTATTATTTTTTAAGATTATTATGTGAATTTAATGCTGGAAAGAAAAAAATACACGGGAACTTGTCAAGTCGAAATGACGAGTTTTATTAGATTTTTTTCTCTCCAAAATGTGGTAGATTATGTTGAAAAGATTAATAAATTATGAACTTTAGATTAGACTTTCAAAAATGCACATTAGGAAGAAAAAAAACTACAAACTTAATACATTAACAGAAGGACGTAAGTAGGACTATTTCAATCAATAAAGTCTATTCTTGATCAACATAAGGATTATCGGCCTACTCGATATCTTGGAAAATATGGACAGTGCTTCCTATTGTGGCCTTCACCTCTACAATGTCCACATAGCTTCGACAGACCTTGCTCTCTTTGAGGGTCATTCATATTAGTATGAATTCAACTAGATTCAGGACGACCCTTCAACTTCCTTCGTAATTACGGATTGAGCAACCATTCTTTAGAGATAGTAGGTGGCCAATATGCATCGTTCGAGAGATACTTAAACTCGTAACTGTATATGTTGCACATAATATGCAAGTCATAACAATCATCAGCGTAAATATATGGGTCTACATTCATGTTCATACATGAAGCAATCGCATAATCACATGGGTATCTAAAGGCTTGAAATCGACCACAATCATACCATCTTCTATTCAGATTACCAGTATAGGTGGTAAAAGTCCCACCCTCATGTGGTCGAACAAGTGCTTGGACAATATAATTAGATTCCAGTCTGGTGAAATTACGAACATACATTGATGTTGCATAAGTTTGATTTTTTTCATAGCTTTCTCCAGATCTGGAGCCCAATTTCTACCTTCGTTGAGCATTGTCTCTACCTGAGCATTTTTGACCACCCAAACTTTACCCAATCTGAAGTATGTCTCTCGAACAATACTTGCCACCGGAAGATGCCTAGTCCCTTTTAGCACTGAATTGATACAGTCGACAAGATTGGTTGTCATATGAATGTAACGTTGACCTTGATTATCATATGCCTGTGCCCATCTTTCTCGGGGTATCAATTCAGTGCTAAAAGGGACTAGACATCTTTCTGTGGTAATTATTGTTTGGGAGACATACTTCAAATTGGGTAAAGTTTGGGCAGACAAAAGTGCCCAGGTAGAGGCAATGCTCAACGAAGTTAGAAATTGGGCTCTAGATCTGGAGAAAGCAATGACCAAAAATCAAACTCATCCAACATCAATGTATGTTCATAATTTCACCAAACTGGTAAGTATTGTTAGGGAGACATACTTCAAATTGGGTAAAGTTTGGGCAGACAAAAGTGCCTAGCTAGAGGCAATGCTCAACGAAGGTAGAAATTGGGCTCTAGATTTGGAGAAAGCAATGACCAAAAATAAAAGTCATGCAACATCAATGTATGTTCGTAATTTCACTAGACTGGAATCTGATTATATTGTCCAAGCACTTGTTTGACCACATGAGGGTTGGACTTCTACCACATATATAGGTAATCTGAATAGAAGATGGTGTGATTGTGGTCGATTTCAAGCCTTCAGATACCCATGCGCTCACGTGGTTGCTGCATGTATGCTTATGAATGTAGACCCATACAATTACGCTGATGATTGTTATAGCTTGCATACTATGCGCAACTTATATAGTTACGAGTTTAAGTTTCTCTCGAATGATGCATATTGGCCACTTACTGTATCTAAAGAATGGTTGCTCAATCCGCAATTACGAAGGAAGTTGAGGGGTCGTCTTGAATCTAGTCAAATTTATACTAATATGGATGACCCTAAAAAAGAGCAAGGTCTACTGAAGCTCTGCGGCCATTGTAGAGGTGAAGACGACAACAGGAAGCACTGTCTACATCTCCCAAGATATTGAACATGCCGATAATCCTTATGTCTTTCAAGAATAGACTTTATTGATTGAAATAGTCCTATTTACGTCCTTATGTTAATGTATTAAGTTTGTAGTTTTTTTTTTCATAATGTGCATTTCTGAAAGTCTAATATAATGTTCATAGTTTATTGTTCTTTTCAACAAAATCTATCACATTTTGGAAAGCAAAAAAAAACAACAGAACTCATCACCTCGACGTGACAAGTTCATATGTATTTTTTTCTGTCCAACCTTAAATTCACATAATAATTTTAAAAATAATTTTCAATAGAATTCGTCACCTCTAAGTGACGAGTTTTGTAGGAAATATTAAAATATTGAGCCCGAAATATCCCATGAAACTCGTCACCTCGACTTGACTAGTTCGTCCTGGACTGTAGAAAATGTCGTAGATCTCAAATTAATTTTTGAGGTGCCTTATTAGACCAAATAATTACGGCGGGTGCCCTATTGTGCCAAAAAAAAAACCCCGGATACCCAAAAATCGGTTCCTTAATTTTTAATTTAGTTTTTTCATTTAAATAATTATATTGAATTATTTTATTTTATATTTAAGTATTTGATTTTAAAATTAAAATAGTTAAAGTATATACATAAAATTAATCAATTTATTCAGTTTAGATATCCAAAATCGATAATTTATTTATAGTAACCACCTAAAATAAATAAATAAAATTAATATATGTGTTTTTTATTTAATAAAAGAGAACAAAAGGCCAAAAGTATGTGTTTTTTATAGTAACCACCTTAAATAAATCAATCAAATTAATAACTTTTAGAGTTTAGTGACCAAAATAGAAGATAATAAAATAGTTGAATGATGAATGATATAATTTACCCAATTTATAACGATAGGAATTAACGAAACTTTTGGTCAATGATTGGAAACGGTTGTCAAAAGGTCATATTGGATTTTTTTCGACTTGGAGGGCCACATTAACCCAAGAATAAGATGAGGGTCACATTAATTTTTTTTTTGAAAAGTTAAGGACCTCGAATGCCTTTTTACATAATTAAAATTAAAATATAATCAAATATATCAAAAGACCTGATAGATAGATGATGATGTTTTAGGTTTAGGTATAAATCTACAGATAAGTTACACCTTATTTATATTATACCCAAAAGATAATTTACACATGATTTATACAAAATAAAAATTGAATCTACACATAAAAACCTAGGACTTAACCTTTACAGACTTTTGTCTAATTGAAAAAAAATAAGATTATATAATTAGAAACATAAATATATATTCATATAATATTTAATTATCAATAATTTTTAAATATTAAACCAATTTTTTGAATTAATATTATTTTATAATTATTAAAAAAACCAAATCAGATCAATATGTATTTAAATATATTTAAATTTTAAAATTTAAGATATTTAAATCTAGAAAAATGTAAATTAAATTTAGATTTGATTAGCTTTTTTTTTTAAATAAAAGCGATATTCTTTTCAGATACGCCAACTCATTCGTATTTAATATTGAGTGAGAATTCGAAATATATACCATTTAAATTAATTATTCCGTATATACTATTACAAACTCTTCCTGTCAAAGGTCAAACCCAATTACGTTGCGCCGCAAGCAACAGCCACCGCCAATACAATTGTCGTCGCATAAAGAAATACACCGGAAAAGGGAAGAAAAACCGACGCCAAGAGTCAAAACCCGGTCTTAGCTTGCACATTCCTTAACGACACTCGAATTTGAGTGTAAATCTGTGAAATCACCCAATCTATTTGTGTCCCCACCTTCTACGGTAATCTCTCGCGCCACCCTGGTTTCATACTCTCTTTGCTTTTCGTTTTAGGGTTTAACCCCACAATCTCTCTTTGTTTCCATGTAAAACACCAGGAGAGAGCCCCGTTTCTGAGAGAGAAACCTTGAGAAGAGGAAGTAAAACAAAAAAGGGTCTGAAGGGGCCTTTTCGGGTTTGGTTGAGCTCCAAATAGATGGGGGCCCTGGCTCCAGTCGTCCCCTCTTGGATACCTGAAGATGACCTCTTGTTGAAGAACGCTATTGAGGTATATACTTCTATTTTACTTGGTTTATTTTAAGGGGGGGGGGAGATTGAGTGTTTTGGTACTTTTTTGAGGTTTTTTTATTGTTCTAGCCTCACATTCGATTTTTTTTTGTATTTATTGTTAATTTGGATATAACTATATATTCGTTATTTCTTTGATTTTTTTAGTAGCTGAATATTAATGATTTTTGTTTTCTTGCCTCTTCTATTATATTATTTTAGTTATTGGAATTGTTAAGCTTATTTGACCGTATCTTTTTTATACTTGACATTGTCTTCTGGGTATAATGTGTTGACCGTTGAGTATGAAATATTTGCAATATAAGGCGTTTGTCACTAATGAGTTAGAAGATTCTTGCATTTACGTTTATGAAGATAAGGAATCTAGCACTTATATTATGGTTGCAATATCTGTCAATGGAGAGGATTACCGTGTTGAAAATATAGTACTTGTAAACATTGTCTAGTCTGTGTCAGTGTTAAATTTGGAAATGCAACCTGCTTTATAGACATCACTGATGTATTAGATTCTATTCATGAATGGAAGTTTGTAACTTTACTAGACTGCATGAATATTGATGAAACTGGAATGCGATCTAAATTGTTCAGTAAGCAAGAAGTTATCACCTCACCCTAATTCGATTTTCTATGGTTATGTTTGTATGCCGGTGATGTATCATTATATTTCTTCATATCTGTTTTCAGGCTGGTGCTTCTCTGGAATCTCTTGCGAAGGGTGCAGTGCAGTTCTCTAGAAAATTCACAGTTAGAGAACTGCATGCCCGATTGCATTCTCTCCTTTATAATCCAGTTAATTCTGAGGAGGCTTCATGTCACATATTTGAGTTTGAATGTTCTGCTTCTAACACAGCAGGAAATTCAAAGGATACCAATAGTTTGCCTGGGAAGAGAAAGTCTGAGAGTGTACATAGTAGTCACGATGCATTGTGCAAAAGAGTTCGGAATGATCCCTTTAACTCAATGGATCCGAGTTTACTTGTTGAATCTATTGATAGCAACTCTATTGGGCTTGCGGATGAGCCCTTACCTGGAAATCCAATCTCAGATCAATTTGGGGTTCAAGAAACAAATGTGAATGTCATGCATTGTTCTTTTCCTCAAATACAGGAAAGTCCTCACATACTTGGAGAGAATCAGTTTCTTGTTGAGAGTGGCTCTGGCATAGAGGAATTGAGAGAATCCAAGGAATTTTCTATGCACAGTTTGTTAGAGGATAATGATAAAGAGAATATTTGCTCTTGGTTTGAGTGTAACCAGATCTTGAACTCATTAATTGTGGAGCATGGTTTGTCAATTTGGAGAACTGATGAAGGCTTCTCTCAATCGGCTATTCCTGCTGATGATGGTCTTGGGCAAACGGTTATTCACAGAGGAGATATATGTGCACCACCCAGTGATGGGGTTGCCAAGAGCAATCATGTGTCAGGACATAACGCTGTTGGTACAGATTCCCATATTGAATCAGAAATACTATGTGAGGCTTCAGAAAATACAATGGCTGATACTGAAGGTTATTTGATGGAAATAACCAATACCCTTATGAATGATGAACCTTTTTTATTGGATGCTGATGCAAAAGATGTGATTGAGAAGTCTTTCTTTGAAGGCTTGCGCTCACTTTTGGTAAGTTCACCAAACAGCGGTGATCAAGATCAGATGACTGAATTAATGACAATTGAAACTCAAGTTAATCTTGCAAAAGTTTCTTGTTCAGGCCTTGGAGAATCAGATGAAGTTGCAGGATCTCGCCCAGTGGAAGAACCTGTCTCTTGCAATTCAGATGTCCTAAACCTTTCTTCTTGCGCTTTAAACAGTGAGGATCCAGAAATTCCATGCAATGAAGATGTTGACTTCCCCGAACATCTATGCCGACCGACTGTTTCCTCAACAGGACACAAGGAACCTTGAAATCCATTATCTGCCTGCATAAAAGATTTTTCTCGGGGTCAGAAAGATAGTGAGAGAGGCCCCATCCTGGTTCAGAGAGATAAAATAGATCCTGGGAAATCACATGGATCTTCTCAAATGAAAAGATCACATATGATAGCAGAAGTTGGTCAACTCCATGCAGTAGTTAAATGTGAGGATCACCCATGTGTAGCTCCTATAGGTGATGGTTTTCTATCCAATGCTTCAGCCCAAAGTAATTCCATTAATGCTAGTGATGGCACTTTCCCACCAACACTGCCAATGGAAAATAGTGAAGATAATTTACTGGGAATGCATACAAATCATAGTTCAGCTAATTCTTTAACAGGGAAACATGCTCTTTGTTCTGATAACCTCGACAGTTTCCCACCGGTGAATCCTTCTGTCATAAAGCGGATGCTCTACAAATGATTATTTCTCCAGTACTAGTTGTTGATCCTCCACCATTAGAGGCTGCAGAGTTACATATTGGAAGTGATGATAATGTTCCTTATTACTCGGACAGTGAGGCAACGGTACGTCATCAAATTCCGATGGTTGTAACCTCTATTATCGTCATCATTATTAACTCCCTTTTATTTCTTGTTTTATAATTTTATGAACAGATCCTTCACATGGACTTGTATCCAGATGATGAAGATTTGTGTGATCAGAAGGTAACAAGTCAACCCACAAAGTTTTTGTACTTGCATCTATCAATGTTCTGCTTTGGTAGTTTGGTGACGCTTGCTGTTACTTTTTTTTTATCTCTCTTTTGTTCATTAGCAGAAGAATCAAGAGATAAAGGAATAGTTTGTCATGTATATGCTTGCGCATCTCCACCTGTTTTGGGTTCAAATTTTATCTTTTCTTTCTCTAATCTGGAATATGGTCTTTATTGATGAAGAATACATATTTAATTCTCACTGTGCAGTTACTAAATACCAGCATGTGGACAGAATAAGAGCAATTATGAGGCTGGAACAGGCTTACCATTCTTTCATACAGAGGGACATTGCATCCCATGGAGCCTTTGCCATTTTATATGGCCGCAATTCCAATCATTATTATATTAAGAAACATGAGGTACTGTAAGCTTTCGTACTATATCCTTACTTTTACCATTCTTCTCATCAGTGTTGCCTTCACCATTTGAATGTTATTTTCTACAATACTGCTATGTTATTGTTATATTTAGGTGGTTCTTAATCATACACTTGAGTGAATACCTCCTTATCCAAGTTTAATTAGAAAGCCATGCTTATTGGTATTCGTTTAAGCCAAAGACAGGATAAATAACTATTCCTGGTTAGGAAACTATATCGTCCAAGGAACCATCTCGTATTTTGTCCTTCATTTGGTCACTTCAACAAAATTCCATGGTTTCATTTTCGGAGCTTTGCTCTTCTAAGCTTGTATGTTTATAGTTTTGATGGGTTTTTATTTTTCTTTAATGCTTTACACTTTCTAATTTTGTAGATTTTACTTGGTAGAATGACAGAAGATTTCATTGTTGACATTGACTTGGAAGACAAGGATGTGCAAATACAGTGTCAAGGAGGAAGTAAGATTTACCATGTCTCTATATATAATTACCACCACTTGAACGGTTGCCTAATAACATGTAATACTGCTTTTGTGGTTCCCCTCATCTATTTAGGCAATCATCAAGATGGAAGAAGATGGATCTTTCCATCTTAAAAACCTTGAAAAATGCTTGATATGGATAAAGGAAAATAAAGTAGCTCCTGAGCAGAGCCTGGGCCTTAAATCTGGAGATGTGATCCTGGTATTATTTTCAATTTTCTTTTGGAAATACGTGTAACAAGTATTGAACATGCCTACTTCATTGCAGTTGACCACTTGTTTTTCATGCTCAAATTCATCTATGAATGTTTGGAGAAATGTTTAGCTGAATATGGCTGTTTTGTAGATAAGGGGGATCCCATTAATCTTCGAGACGAACCAGAATTGTGTGAGGCAGTATTTGAATGGTGTGGCAAAAAAATGGTTGAGCTCGGGAACCCCATATTAGAACTGTGCTGTATGTGCAATTTGGTCACCTTTATTTAGTGGTAGTCTCATGTAATTACTAATTACAAGTTGGAAAGAAATAGCTTTATAAGTAGGTGGAATTGAATCTATCGATACAATTGGTTACTCTGCTACACTCACCTCACTTTCATGGAACCTACCTTTTTTAAACACCTTGGACATCTCCGACAATTCTTTCTCCAGCTCACTTCCGGACTCGTTCTCCAGTTTAATTCGCTTGTGTCGACTCGGTCTTTCCGGGAACTCTGCTAAAATACCTGCCTTTCTTGGCTCACTCCCTCACCATGAAGAACTTTACCTTTACAACAACCATCTCCATTGACCAATTCCTTCAAGCTTTAACAACTTAACACACCTGAGACGACTTAAAATCCAAAGAAACTACATTTCCGGTGAGTTTCCCGATCTTGGTTCACTCCATAACCTTTACTTTCTCGATGCATGTGATAACAACATATCTGGTGGAGTGCCATCGCTCAACGAGGAACAATAAACTAAGAGGAAATACTCCGACAACATCGACAAGATTAGGTACTCTTTATGAAAGATTTTTAATTTGATAATTATATAAACTTAATAAAGACAACTTTGGGGGCACGCACACTTTTCATACGTTAATACCTTCGTCCTCTGACAGTATTTAAAAAAGTCTTAATTTTGTGGTCGTGGGATCATGTCTTACGGTGAGCAATTCATAATTCTGACTGCCGGAGGTCTTCCACAGAAGTTGTTTTTAACTTGGTGTTGGGGACAGCCTACTACCCTACCTCCCCCTCATCTCATTACATATGAGAATAGTGTCAGCTAATTTTTTTCTCTTTAAACGGTTAAATCATTCCCAAACATTGAAATCAAATGGTGGTCGAGCATTTAGGAAATTGGGCAGGCAAGGACGTGGTTCCCATGCATAGATGTATGTATAACATCGTTTTCCAAAACTTTTTACAGGCAGTATTCAGCGCAGCGGGAGCAGGGGACATAATCTACATTTATGTTAAACTTTTTGTAGGTACACTAGTGAGTCGTCCAAGTGCTCCTCATCAAAAAGTGGGTTGGATAGATCTCTATTCATTCCCCCAGCTTCATGGATGCAATAAAAGCTTGCCAAACCCATATTTAGCTTTGAGATTTAAAACTTTCTAAACCTTTATTGCGATTATACATTGGAAAAAAAATAAGAATGTTGGTGAAATACTAACAAAATTAGTTCAACTGGTAAACATTTTGAAATTGCTAAAGTAAGGTGTCGAGTTCGAGTCCTTGTATATGTAGAAAATTCTCGTTAGGAGACTCATCCACTAAAATCAGGTATGCTACATGAGTTAATCCAAATTAATCATGACAAAATCTTAGAATCGGAGGGAAAAAATGTTGACAAAGTCTTTAGCTCCTGAATTATCTACTCTTTATTTTCTCTTCATGCTTATGGAAATCAAAACACTTCAACTCCTCAAACCAAAAATCAATTCTTCTCTCGTTTCAATCATATTAGATTGAATTGGAAAATTTTAAAGCCGACAAAAAAGTTAAAAATGGTAAAATATTATTTGTTATTTTTATTTTCTTTGTAGACGAAAATTGATTGATTCATTTCATATTTTTTAACAGTGTATAACTGTTCAAATTCAGATAGTTTATAGAAAACAATATATACTATTAAACTTATGAAAATATGGGTCAAACTTGTGTCAATTAATTTTTCATTTCATTATTATTATTTATTTCATAACCATTTTAAAACGAGAAAGCGAATTAAAAATGTAATTACGACTTTATTTTAAAAAAATTTAAATTTTTTGGTAAAATTTGATTTGGAGTAGCCATCGACCTTTGGGTTAGGTAGGTTGAATACCTAAAAGAAGTCTTTTAAACAATTTTAAGAAAAATTATTTTTAAAGACACAAATTGATATGCGTTACCAAAAATTCATTTTTGAGAGTCAGGAAACGATTACGCGTGGGGAAGAGTAAGCACCCCACAATGTCCGAAATCAATACCTAATCGTTTATACGTTGTCGCAATAGTGAAAACCATATATTCTAGTTAGAAATTAAAGTATGATATTTTTACTAAAATTGACTAATTAATTACAAGTTTGTTTTTCATTTGAATATCGTTGAATCGTACTTCTCCTATAGAAAGGTGTTTGTCATGTCCATTCTACGACGAGCATCCTTGACTTGTTCAAATAAGCCCATTTCTATCATATACTAACATACGGATATCTAAATAAATAGAAAAATAATATATATATATATATATATATTATAGGTAAAAATAGCCATAACAGAATAATAATAAGCACAAAATAAATTAAATACACATATGTACCCGCTTTCAAAGTACACGTACAAAACTAATATGACATAAAAAAAACTATGGTTAATAAAATTTAGGGTAAAGCATAGTAATGGTCACTGAACTTTTCTAAAGCTTTCATTTAGGTCTCATAACTTTTAAAACTTGCAATACAGTCCCCTAACATTTTGTTTGTTTGTAATATGGTCCCTCAACAGTTACGTCAGGGGCCGTATTGCAAACAGACTAAATGTTGGGGGACCATATTGAAAACGGACTAAATGTTAGGGGATTGCATTGTAATTTTTAAAAGTTGGGGGACTTAAATGAAAGCTTTAGAAAAGTTTAGTGACATTACTATACTTTACCCTTAATTTAATTAATTTTAACCAGATTGATTAGTATAGATACTTAAAATGATTAAATTGACTAATAGAAACTAATTTTATAATTTATATATAATAAAACAATTAATAGTATAATTAAACTTTAACAAATTTAAATTTAAGAATTCTTATAAATAAAGCCTGTGAATTCGAAAAACTCTTATAACTATTAATATCAACATTTAAGATTGTAGTTAATTTCTTTTGTGTGATTATTTGTTTGTCATCATCTTCATGTAACTCCTAAAACAAAATTTCCCACAAAACAACATATATTACCCCAAAATCATCAAACAAAATTTTAGATCACAGTAAGAATTAACCCTAAAAAGTATGTTTATATATACATATTGTCCTGAGCTTCCTTTTTCAGACTAAACTACTTAATACATTCTTTTTCTACAATGGAGGTCTAAAAATGTCTTTTTCCAAGTCGAGAGTTTCGAGTTCTAGCTATGTGAAGGTATCTTTTCAGGAACAAACTATTCGAACTTCATGACTCGATGATGATTATTTGGAAACAACCAAAAACCAACATCAAGCAATGTATATAACATCACTTTTGACTTTGCGTGCACGTTGAACTGCATCATATCCCTAACCTCTTTATACCACATTCCGAGCAGAACTTGGATGTTTCCCTCAGGTAAAGCGCCCCGCATTCATCGCAGTATTTCGGTGGATTTGTAGGCTGAAATGTAAGCATTTCAAGGGAGTTCAGAGTATATTTTGATTTTTATATCGACAGACGCATAAACATGCGTTAACATGGAACCCAAAAGATGCAAGCCTGCAATTGAAAGATCGGAAAAGGCCAAATAGAATCCCTCACCATAACATGCAAGCGTCCTCCAACGTGATCTCCTCCTGCTAGGGGTTGTCAGCAAACTATTTGTTGAGGCATGGTCGGTGACTGGTGAGCGTGATTAATTTCGGGTAAGTGTGATGGTGTCCCACATTAATGATTCGGGGGAAAATGAGCAGGATGTTGGTTTTGGTGAACTGGCTGATTATGGTTCTGGTGAATAGGATGATAATGGTGTTTTGAAGGAGTCTGCTGCTGATTCTGCAATAATTGAAACAGTTTTTCAAAGCAGTGTTATCTCCAAGTCACTTTGATCCTTGAATACCATAGAACATGAGATGCTCAATTTAAACATAGACACGCTTCTTTTCAATGCAAGAACCCATAAATTGATTATCATATTTAATTACTAAATACTAATATTCTTCAACAAACTGAATGTCTAAATTCAAAGAAAATAAAGGTCCAAGAACAGAAACCCTAAATAGAAAAATCTTCTTATTCATAGGAGAGCTCTTAGTTCATTGACAGGGTGAAACCCTTGAGGATTAGACAACGCGGAACTATCTGCGCCGGTGTAAGCCTGCAAAATTTTAAAATGATTACATCGTATCTCATTACGGTGAGAGATGGAGGGAGAGAGGAGAGGGGGACTTACATACATGTAATCCTCAAATAGATAATGCACCATTATGATATGTACTAAGTGGTTATGGTTTTATGTCATATTTAGTAATATGGATTTACACACTCATAAACTCTTATGTGTTCTAAGGCATATTGGATATTAGATTTCAAGGAACATCCAACTAGAATTATTGTTCAAAGATAAAGAATCGAGTCAGAAAAGAGGGTATGGATCTTACAGGCAAGGAAGGGATGTTGGACACTGTCTTTGATGATACGCGCCTGTACTATTGCCTTGGAGAATAGAACTTATAGTCTTGAGCGGAGATAGCAACCTTCAGCAAATAGAAACATAGACAGAAGGCAGGATGCTTATGGAAAAAATCTCTCTCAAAGTCAAAATCCTCAAAGTCCAAATGCCATGACTTGTCAGCAGTTAAGAAAGTGTTTAAAACAAACTATAATGCATGGAAAAAATATTTCTGCACTAACTCATGTCATGAGAATCCGGCTAATAAATGGAAACATAGATACAACCAAGTGGGCAAACTTCTGTATTTTGAATTACACGAAAAGCATCAAACTGATTCTTATGCAACCTCTCTAAGGGGCATACACAATGCTCCTTAGGGGAAATCAATTGGCCAAATAAGCAAGAAATAGTACACACATGGCACTGATAAAGTAGTAAGAAAAAGGAGCCACGCTGATAAAGACCAGGACATATAATCAATCATATGTAAAGAAAATAAATCCATGTGAATAACTTACCACTCGGCATCCTCAACAGGCACATTATTTGGTCTCTCAATGATATCCAAACCATTAACCACAAAACGAACTCTCTTTTCTTCTTGTATAACTAATTCTGGAAACCTTGTCCTTGTTTCAAGAGAAGTTGCAAGTTCT